CTTATATTTTTCTTTTTCTTTTGTATTAGTTATTGAGGTTCTATAAGAGACTAAATATCAAACCCTTGAAAAATGATTCTTCCTATCACAACTATTTTTTTTTCTTTTGTTTAAATGATGAATTCATGAATTATTTCAGTAAATTTCAAATTATTTCAATATATTATTTTTTATTACAATTAACTAGAAGTACATGATCAAACTCTTTTAATTAACACAAACCTAAAATAATTGAAGTTTGAAAATTGACATCACCAATCTATTTTTTTAATTTTCAATTGAATTAATTTATTATTTTATTTTTGCGCATTTATGCTTTATTTTTAAAATAAATCTCTTATAATCAATTTAGATTTTTTTCAAGATAAAAATTGTTAGTTTTCTAGAACCATAGAGTTGTCAAAAATTTCATAAATAAAATTAGCAATATTATTTTATAATTTATGAATTTTATCTCGAGAGAATCAAGAATAATAAGTTACAACTTTAAAATTTTTTTATCTCTAAACTTAAATAATAATTTTCTAATATTCTTTTTCTCAATTCTTAAATTAATATTATCTTCAACCTAATTATACTTCTTCAAATCGCTTTAAATCAATATTAATTTGATAATTACTTGAACCTAACTCTTTGTATTTGATTTCTAAATTTTGTTATTATTACTACTACCATACTATAATGTTACCTTTAACACATTTAAGACAATACACCCCTCGTATAGGAAGGAAGGTAATAAATTTTGAAAAATTGTAATTTAACTTTTCAATGTAATATTAATTACATATTTTCCATTTATATCCTAAAATTTTTTAAAGTAATTATTGTGTTGTATAATTTTTAATAAAGAAAATTAATCACATAGTTAAACTTTTTAAATTTATTATTTTTTTCACTTATTTATTAATCACATAGCCTTTCCCTTCTGCTTAGTGATGGATCTGTCCACAACAAGGCCCAAAGCTGTTTGCTCCAATTTACTCCTTTATCTATGGGCCTTCCTAAGCCCAAACTTTCTAGCTTGCTCCAACACTATAGTTTTGTTGTTTTGGGCTTCTAGGCCCTCCTAATCACCAAAAATAAAGTATTTAAAAAAAATCATTCGTCAGATATGCTGGAAAACTCACCGTACTATGTCTATATAGATTTTTTTTATCCGTACATAGACTATATAGTGTTGCTTTTTCATGTGTAATTGTGTTTTTTATTGTGAAATTTTCGTGTGTTTAAAGGAGAAAAAAGAAATAAATAAGAAGTATACTAGAAAAAGATGAGAAAGAGAGAAAAAAAGAAATATAAGAAAAAGAAATATGAAAAAAATAATTTTTAAATTGAATAATTGATAAATATATTAAATAAAAAATTTAATTGGTTAAATTAGCAATATATAAGTTATAAGTGGAAAAAATGATCGGAACAATTAATTATAGAAAAATTCAATTAATTACTTTCTTTTTTCTCACACGTCTGTTCATTTCTTCACTGTTTTGCTAAGAAATAGGAAAATGTGAGGCTCGTACTTTTTTTTTTATTTCTTTCCACGTTCATTTTTTGGCTGTCAAACAAACGTTTTATTTTTCCTTGTTTCTCCTATTCCTTTTCTCTCCATCCTCACTTTCTCTTGTGACAAACTCAACTTTAATATAAGAAAGGTGTAAAAGAAGAAATTATGACATGATAAGTAGTTACACTTTTATTTTTATTTATCTATAAAACAATTGGTTCAAAACACTTCGATGTGTAAAGTCACCATAGTCATCTCCTTTACATTTAAAGGAGGAAATGCATTCGGGTTTAAATAACTTACGAAGCAACTTTTATTTATTTATTTATTTTTATTGAAATTATAATAATAATATTAAGATTTAAATTTAAAACTCTATGTATATTATTCTAATTCTTTCATTATTAAGTCAATTCTAATCATTTTATTTATAGAAAGGAATGAAGACTCAAATTTGTAACTTTCACATCAATGTTCCTTGAAATTATATGTGCTTTTGTACCTTGAAATTATATGTGCTTTTGTAAAGGGACTAACAATTCAAGAATACTATTTCCTAGATAATATATTTATGTTATTATTTTTTTATTGCATTATGAATATTTTCAAATTGATAAAGAAAGATTCATTTATTTTAAGATGTAAAGAGACTCTATTTGATAAAATCAGCTTATTAACTAGTTAAAAGCTTATAAGGTAACAAAAAACTTATAAGTTGTAAATTGACTAATTAAATTGAAAACTTAAAAGTTAACTAATTGAATTAAAAATAATTTTTGTAAAGGGACTAAAACAATTCAAGAATACTATTTCCTAGACACCGAAAAAAGAGTTGAATAGTATCAATAAAAAAGTTAACACTTTTTGAAACAATGAAATAATATATATAAAAAAAAACTTTACGAGTGCAAACAAAAAATTAAGAACAAAAAACACAAAATGATTTTATACCGATTTGTCTCAACCACTGAGATTATGCTCAATTCTTGATCAAGTTTCACTATCTTTTACAAAAATATATGTATTCTTTAACAAGTCACATCTGCCTCAACCTAAATATTCTTAATTATACTTACTTTTTTAAGAAATTATTTAAGTATTCTTTGAAAAACGAAGTCTCTCCAAGCTTCAATAACTCAGTATTCTTTACAACAAAGTTTTTACAGGCTTCAACAAACAAGTGCTTTTTACAATCAAATCTCTTTAGGCTTTAAGCAATAACACATTGTTAAAGTTGATAATTACTTGTTGTTTCGCCTTACTGTTAAGACATGATACAATTAATTTAAGAACAAAATTTTTCACAGAAAGAATAAATATGAATTTTTATAATGATTGTTCTCTTTTCTTTCTAAATCTTGAAACTTCTTTATATAAGTGTTTCATGAAAATGAACATTGTAAATCCTTGAACATTTCTCACATGCTTACTTTGTTCGTCTTTGTCTTCGTTCCTTGGAAAAGAGGTGTCTGTTAGTGTATTAATTATGAGTATTAAATGTATTTTATCAAATTGTCACTTTTTATTTGATTAAGGAGACTACTTATCACCTTTATGGTACCAATAGGAAGTAACTATTGCGTTTGTTGGAATGACTTTTCTTGAGATTTTGCATGCTTTAAGGGATTTGCTTTTGATTTCTCTGATACAAAACATGTCCATTTCTTTTTGAAGTGTAAGTGCCGAAGAAACTTTTTATTCCTTTGAATCTACTAAGGAATATCATAGAAAAATATGATTTGATTATCATATATTACAGAAGATACATATTAAATACATTTAGCTTACAGATGAGTTTGCATGAGAGACTACACATTATTATAACCAATTGTTTATGTTGATTCGTCTTATAGTATGATCTGAAAAACGTCGACTAAGTTTATATTATCATTAAAACTTATACTTTAAGGAATTTAAGGTTGTCTTTTGATCTAATATATTTGATAATATTAATTGTAAATATAAAATGAGATAAAATAATTTTTATAATGAGTTAGAAAATGGCATGATTAACATAATAGTTTCTAAATTAAAAAGAATAAAAAAAAAAGTTCAAATAAATTAATAAAGATAAAAGCAAAGGAAAAAAAAACTATTACCTTATAAGTTATAAGCTATTTTGATTAAGTTATGCAAATAAACTTTAAACTATTAAATAAACTCGTATAAACTCACGTAGTAAACAGTTTTATTTTAGTTAAATTGGCTTATAAACTAGTTAAAGGAATTTATAAGTTCTTGAAATGCTTATCAAAATATATTCTAAATCTTCTCGAAATGTACCATTAGAAAATCAAATTCGCATAAATTTTATTTTGTAACCATGGCAAACAGTGATTAATCTCTTACGAAGATTATGAATACATATAAGATGACTATTTCTTTTCTAACATAATCTATTTTATATAAATATACTTAAGAAATCAAATTATAAGAAATATTAGCAACACTCTCTCAGATAGATCTGGTCGATGAAAAAACTTATTAAATGAATTATGGGACTCAAAATTGAATAAATTAAAGTGAATGATAAAGAGAGTTTGATAGAGTATAATTGTCAATTAACATTCCTGGTCCAGCTGTTTAGCAACTATGTTAAGACCTTTTGGGTGGGACAGAAAAAGAATCATATAAAACCCCCCCAAGGGAGATTGAGAATAAATTAAAATTAGCAATCTGAAAACAAGTTCGTACTAACTGCTTTCCTCTGCTCACATTCACAACTGTGCGAATGGGACGGCAAGTTTTGATGACTAACAGCCACGTTTGCTAATTATTATTTAAATCCAAAGCTTTTGTCCTTCCTACATTGGGGTCACAAAACATGTTACAATACCTTAAAATATAAAACACACGAATCTTTCCTAGATTTGAGGCCTCTCTTGCTGATAGAGACCTAGTACATGAACCCCAGGTACGACAAAAATGCCTTCGTATGCTAAAACCAATAAAATATGCAAAGTCTTATTCTACTGCTCCAGCCCCATGTTAGGACAAACAAATCGTGTAATCTATTTTATCAACATATTTTATGTTCATAATGTTATCTACTTCCCAACCCACCACTTAGGTCTTTGTTCTAATCACAGAATTTATGTATTTATTAATGTACTCACTTTGCCATTCGTCCTTGCATTACCCTTTCAATAAATTATCTATATCTATATCTTATTGTTCCACTCCCAGAATAGGAATAACCCATCAATTATTTTTTAAGAGATTGTAATAATACCCATTTGAAATGCACTACTTCTGCAATATGAAATATATGGGACGAATGAATTGTGCTTTAGAAATTAATGATCGTAAAGCACAACTATATTTTGAAAACTACATAGTATGTAGCAGAATTTTACACATAGACAGTTGAATTTACCTCTTAAGAGGGTGGCAATTCATTATATTTTCCATTATTTTACAGATTCTAATGGAAATATGGCTTTAACACATTCTAATTCAGTCTTGAGCAGATCGACAAAAGTTATAGGAATTTGAAGAAAGAAAAGAAAAAACCTTCATTAGATTTACTTACATCTATGGACAGAATAGGGGAAAAAGTGATCTAGGGAAAAAGGACTCATCAACAAACTTTAAAATTTCAACTCAATAAGGCAGCTAACCTAACTGAAGTTGAATGATTCTTAAGTCATTTACAAGAAAAGAACTTCCATCCTCCCATAAACAAATTTACAGAAATGTTATTTCACACTGTTGGAAAAATAACTTTGCCAAAATCTTAACTATACTAATCTACAATTACTCATATCATCAAAGCAAAAACTATATAAATAAGCCAAGCTCATAACGTTGCAGTCGCGGTCTTGTCACCATTCTTGACATCGCGGGAAACTGCGAATAAATGCAACTGATGCAGTCACAATTGTGATTGCGACAAGGTCACCTTGTCGTTGCAGCCAAAATCACGGTTTTCAAAACCTTGAGATTTCAGAGCTTGAGGGACAGATCAAGGTGCTTCATTTCTTCTTGATTAGCACTACTCTTCAAAAGAGTTCCACCAGTAGCCACACAACCAGTGATTTCCTTGTTGGCCACAGAATTCATCATGGTATTAGTACTATTAACCATTTCAAACCTACCAACACTGCTTTGTGATGATGATAATGCTGATTTTGTTCTGAGAAAATCAGGCACAGCAAGCTTAGCTACTCCTGGTTGTTGATCAATGATGGGTCTAGACCAACCATGATGGTGTCCATAAGAGCCTCCAAATCCATGAGAAGGCTTGTGGATCATGGAGTGTGCTTGAATTCCGAGGCCTCTATTGCTGCAAGCACCATAAAGGGGTAGAGAAGCCATGCTTGGTGCTGCTGCATAGTGGTTGTTTCTATGCAATAAGGGAAGTCCAAAGGCCATAATCTGCTGTGTTCCAAATCTGTGACCTCTCTTTGCTATTGACCTCTCTCTCTTGTGTGCATTTTGGTGGCCACCTAGTGCTTGTGAACTGTAGAACTTTCTGTGGCAGTAGTTGCAAGAGAAGACTCTTGGCTCAGCATCAAGAGGGGTTGGTGTTTCTGATGAATTTGCAGTCACATCCAAACATGTGAGGAGGTTCAGTTCTGCCCCTTCTTCTGGGGTGAAGGAATCATCACCTGAGACATTGAGATCCAATAAAGTAGTGACAACAACATGCTTTGGATCCTTTTCTTCCTCTTCTTCATCAACAGATAGTAGCTGCTTCTTTTCCCTTGGATGCTGCAGTGGGGTACTTGGACTTGGGGGAGCCTCTGGAGCAGAGGAAAAGATGCTTCCTCTGTCACAAAACTCTGCCTCCTTCTTGCTTAGTCCTTCCATTGCACTTTGCAGACTGCTTTTCCTTCCCCTTCTTGGTAGGTTTAGGACTTTTAATTTGATGATTCTTCACTCTAAATGGATAAAACTAGTATATATCGGAGAAGGACACTTGCTTTTTTTTGTTTATTATTTCTTTATGTCTACAGGTAATCCTGTTTCAATTACAAATATTGATAGGATAATGAAATTTTTTCTGACAAACACATTATTGATGTAACGTATTATTTACTTTTTTTAATTAATTTTTTTAGAAAAACTTAGATTGACTAATTTAAAATTTCTTTCTTAATCACATATTTTTTACTTACAAAATTATTTAATAATGATTATTATTACATAAGAAACTTTATGACACAATTTTATTTAAAATAAGCATTTAGTATTTAGATGAACTATATTATCACATAGTGACAAATTATTTTTCTTTTTGTTCTTTAACTTCAATTATTTAGTGTCCTTGGATCTTCAACTTGAACATAAAATTGTGATTAAAAGAATAACTTTTAGGTGGAGTGGAGTAATATTTCCTTATTAAAAAATAATTACTTCATTCCTATTATTTACAATCCAATATATGGAGATGGAAAGAAAATATTAAAACAATGATATTTATTCATCTATATACTATCTTCTCACCTCTTTCATCCTAGTTTTATCTTTTAATTATATTACATGAATTATGATTTCTTTCATTTTATTTTCTTTGTGAATATTTTATCTCGACACCCCAAAAGAAAATATGGGATCTAGAAACACCATATTTCTAGATGCATGATATTTTAAACACATTTTTGTTGATTTTATTAATTGAAATATAAAGTTATGAATAAGACTAACTAGATAGAAGAGGGAAGAATAGCATTATTTGTTAATAGCAGGGTTTTGAGCATGAGTCCTGTGCAGAAGCCATGTGATTCATATCCAATTGTTTTGTACTTTAAGAGAGTGGGGCATGTGTGTGCGTGCGAGGGAATTATATCTGCATGAAGTGTATGGTTTTGTGTGAAGCCTGTCACTGTTATGTGGTCATGCACAGACACATTGCTTTGTTAGTATTGGAAAGCAACGATAAGGTAGCGTTTGGAGTTGGGCTTTGGGCAGAACAAGGACAAGGAGGAAATTATCAAGTGATACCATCACGCGCGTCTTAAAAGTACCTTAATCATATCATATCATACTCATGCTACTCACATTCACATTCACATAGGAGACAAACCCAAACATTGTCCATCTACACCCAAGTCACCAAACAAACTTTCCTTAGTACTTGAAAGTCCATCAACAAAGCCACCGTGTCCCCAGTTGTTGCAATTCTTTGTCTCTTTGCATCTCTCATTTTTAAGACTTTTGCTTCTTATTCCTTTTTCATTTTTTTTAAATTTCTTCTTTTGGGTTCTCAAGGGTTGGATTTTTCATCAAGTGAATCAACAACACTTTGTTAGCAGAAATAAAACTCATTTTAAAAATCTTTACAGATTAAAAGAAATTAGTTTCTGACTATTAATTGAAATATATCATTGGGATAAACCAAAATAAATAGACTTGTAATTACACTTTTTCATATTTTATAATTTTATCACCAATTATAATTTTACTATTTAACTTTCAAACTTTAACATTTTTCTATCTATTAATTAATTAATTGTTTATGTAACATATTAATGGTTAACATAATAATTCATATCATTTTTGTACGTCATATCAATGATCAATGTATCAACAGTTAAAATATATTATGTCAGTTATTAATTTATAATATTAGACAGTTAATTAGCATAAAAATAAATATGTAAAAGGTTAAAAGTTAGGTGATGAAATTTGTAAAATTGTAAATATAGATGACAAAAAATATAATTAAGCTAAAATAAATAATTAATGTTGACCATATATAACTTTTAAAATAATTATAAAAATTAATAAAAATTTATTAAATATAATAATTTATGATTAAATGATAGTGTAAAAGTTCTATAATATCAACGAAATTTAAATTAAATTTTTTTTTTTATAATCCTTGTGACCTATGGATCAATTAGGAGAGCCAACACTCTAGGGCTTCCAAAGGAGTAAATAAATTTTAACCCAATCTAGTATTTTGCTTTCCTTCCAACGTTGTTGCTCTCTTTGTATGTTATGGTGCAGAAACTAAAAAAATGGTCCACAAGACATAAAATAATTTGAAGGCGGTGAGAAAGTATAGGGGAAAAATCCTATGTGTTGTGTCCTATAGTGGCAGAAGAGACAAATGGCCGACAAATAAAAGAGGAAGTTGAGATGGAGTTCCTCTAATGCCCTTGATAGTGGTATTTCGTATCAAGTTACATTATTAATTATAGTGGATCAAATCTCCATGTTAAACTATTGGATTAGGTTTATAACTTTGGCTTTAGCACAAATATGATACTAATTATTGTTACCATATTCGCAAGTCATTTTTGGCAACTTTGATTAGCAAAAGTCCTAACCCCACCTTAAAGGGTCATGAGTGAGTTTTGGAATTTAAAACTGATTAATCCCATTGGGCAAACAACTCAATGACTTCATGTTAGTATATTGTTAGTTGTCTAATCAATACATAGAACCAAATCTCTTTATGAGATCTCTATGTCTCTCTAAACAGGTCCACTTTTGAAACCCTACCAAAAAAGAAAATCACAAAGTTCCAATCCATCAATAAGAAAATATCTTTAGGATCCACGTGAAAGTACCCGAAACAAGACAACTATAATGCTCTTTTCTCTTCTCCAATCTTCTCTTATTTATGTGTTCAATTGGATTCGATAGATTTATATAGGAAAATAAGTCATTTGACTAAATTTAATCCATCTTTATTTTATCATTCTTTCATTCAAGTGTGAATGGATGCAATCCAAATCTAATTTTCATTTTTTTTTTGCATTTTTCTTTGTTATATTTTGGAAAAACTTAAAATTTATAAATTAAATAAAAATGATTTAAAGCATCCAATATCTCTTAGCATAAGTTAATAGCATAACCATTAACCAGGATAGTTCTAAGTTATCAATTTACTAATTTACTTTGTTCTATTTTATTTTATTTAATTTCTTTAATGTGTTTCTATATGTACTTGCAGAGGAATCAAAATAAAAATACTTTATTATATATATATTAAAAGTGCATACAAATTATTTAGTATTTTTAATAAGTAATACTATTTAGTAAAATATATTTAATAATTTTTAACATGTTCCCACATACGCAAACTAAAAAAAAGAAGAAGAAAATACTCCTTTTTTTGGGCTTTGGCGGGAATATCTTTTCTATTTTACTTTTTCCTATAAATTCCTTATATAATTAATATAAAAACATCAAAACTACTTAACAGAGAATGAGAGATAAAAAGATTACAACTTACTAATTTAAACTAAATAAATTTATAACATGTAATTTAGAAATTAAGAATATCATAATTTCATGCAAATATATATTTAAACCAATGTGATGTATATAAAAAATTCACAAATAAAATTTATATGTGTATAAGTAAATTCAAAATTTAATTAAGTTAAATAAAATTTTTATACACAACTCATGTTAATTTTATTTGACTGAATAATTTACATTAAGCTTAATGAGTTTACAACCACTCTTATTTCTACAAAGTATGTACTTCATAAAATCAAATAATGAATGATGTTTCCAATGTTTTTTCCTCTTTATCTCGACACAGACATAATTCTGATCATGACAAATCGAAACATGGTTGGCTGGGCCTTGATTGTCACGTACACAAGTCATAGATAATCCTAACATGGTGTTCACTTTGTCAGTAGTATGAGTTGCTTTTTCTTTCTTTCATTACGCGCCTTCTAAACCTTAATTGTGCCAATTTTTTTAATCACAATTAATGTAACTCCCTAAACTTTTATCTATCAAACTGCCACTCTCATGAGATTAATTAAGAAACTGTCACACTTTGTTATATCATGAGAAGTTAGGTTTTGGGACTCAACTTCTCAATGGATTCTTTTTTTAATTTTTATTTAAATATGTTTTATATATTTGATTAAAATAAAATACAATTTAGAGAAAAGACAAATACATATAATTTCTTTTTAAATTATTGAAATATATTACATTTAAAAAAATATAGACTATTATTATTTAAGTGAGAACACTTTTTTATTAAATGGTCAATGATTTTAATTACAATAATTACATCTTACAATTTGTCTTTTTATGAAGTTCTTCTGCATAAATTTTAGATAATCTTTGAGATTTTTTTTTTAAAATTTTTGTGATGATAAAATTCGTCTTATTATCAATATTATCAAAAATTAAACTGAGGATCAATTCGATCAAGATACTTAATTAATGAGGTATTCATTAAATTGATAAATTATTGAATTGATAAATTATTAGTTAAATCATATTAATTTTTAAATTATTAAATATATTTTATATTAAACATATAGTATATTACCTTTTGTAAAAAATATATATTAAAATTACATTCTAGTTTAGTAGTCAATAAGTTTTTAAAAGTCATGTGGACTTAACTCAACTTCTATTAGATGCAATTTTTTTTTTCTAAAATTCCACAAGCTAACCAACATTCACCAATAAATCATCGTGAATAATGAAAAACAAAATAGGTGGATGCCTTCAACAAATAAATTCTTATATTTAATAAATATATAAAGTTTTATATTAAATATATAAACTTTAGGATGTGTTAAGAAAACAATTGAATTGATTTCAACTGAGATTGAAAAAGGAACTACAATCACAATTTTTTATTTATTTTACATCATAACCGGTATCTAGACAGACATTTAGAATTGCAGTGATTAGCCACATTTTAAACTATACCCTGTACTAGTTATATTCTTCACAATTTTTGATTATGACACTATTTTCCGATTATTGTTTGACAATTTTAACAATTCAAATCACAAGAATTTTTGTACACTTTGACCTTTAGTAACAATAAAAAGAGCAATCACAAATACAACGATTGATAGATTTATTTTTGCTCTTTTTTTTAGTGTTTCATTTAATGTAATTTATGTTTAAATAATCAAAAAAATATCATGTATTCTA